CCCTCCCCCACCACTGGGTATATCTGATAATACTTGCTCATTCCTAAGACTATGTAAAACCTTTGGCTGATGCTTTAATTCTGTGAATGGAAGAATTACTACTCTAGTGTGGTGGGAAAGGATCAAAATGTAACAAACTGAATCTCTACCAACATAAACATTTATGTCACCAGAAAAGAAGCCTGAGATCTTACTTTCGTACTTTTGAACCAAGAACTTGTAGAATATGTTTTGGGTTTTTTTTCCCCAAGACTCACTCTGATCATTCTAGGTGACTGAAGGAAAAGCATAGCAAAGACAATGCAAAACGGAGGAGGAAAAAATATAGTTTTTAAGTGAAGTGGCAGTAAGCAGAAGTCCTTTATCTAAGAACTCTAAACAGAAATATAACAAAATTAGAAACTCTAGGCTCTTTCTAGTATACCAACTAAGTTATTATAATGGTATAGGCATGGACATTCTATACCCCAAAATGCTTGTTTTAAATAAAGTTAAATACAGTAAAACCCTGCTTTCTATTAAAGTGAAAGAGCTGAAATTCATTAATGGGGGGGGGAGACAGGAAATCCTTTATTAATTCAGTAGGAAATACCTATTTATATTCAAGAAACTTTTTTTTTGGTTCCCCCTCACTCCCCTAAGTCAATGGTGCTAAAGATTTCAAGGAAGTAATTTGTGAATAGCACCAGGACCCAGTGAGTAATTTTAAAACCCAGGTGTTCTAGTATGATTAATTTATCACCCACTCTCATTTTTAAAATATCTTTCTCAAGATTTTTGTAAAACTGCTAATGTCAACAATTCAAGCAGGTTTGAGAAGCAATTTGTAAAGTAATGAAGCGAGTGTAAGTGTGTGTGTGTGTGTGTGTGTGTCTATATTACAATGACCCATGAAATTCAACGTTATAAAGAAACCAAAGATGCTGTTAACTAAGGAGACTCAGGACGACACTTATTCAAAAGTGGCCAAAATTTTTCTAAAACTTCTTTCTGTAGAGAACACCTGATTTTGACATTTGGTTATTTTTCAATAACAATCATAAGAAATTTTTTTACAGTACAATAAACGTGGAATGTGTTCAGTGCTATGATGAAACACTTCTATGAGATCAATCTCAATATTCCTATTGCTTTTTCCATCACTTAAAATCACTCACTGGGCCCGGCCAGCCATGGCTCATGGCTGAGTGTCCACTTAGGATCCAGGAGATCACAGTTGGATTCCCAGTCTGGGCACATGCCCAGGTTGCAGGCTCGATTCCCAGTTTGGGGCATGCAGGAGGCAGACAATCAATGACGACTCTCTCATCACTGATGTTTCTATCTCTCTCTCTCCCTCTCCCTTCCTCTCTCTGAAATCAATAAAGATATATTAAAAAAAAATCACTCACTAGAAAAAACAAGTTGCTTCCTCCTTGTCTTACACATAGGACATTGCACCATGTAAGGCAGCCAGGAAGACTGCTGTGTTTCACCTCTGAGCAGAAATAGCTGGAGACATGATTTCAGGGTTCTGTGCAGGGGAAGAGAATGAAGCGATTAGTTGAAATGCTAAGGGCAAAAAGAGTGGGTGCTCTCATACCAATGCCAACTCAAAAGCTAGAAGCTAACCCCTCTCTGTTATATTTGCCCATGAATGGGGTAGAGTGGGATTTGTATATCTGTGTCTACGATATTTTGAATTGTATACAGATGTGTCTGTACTGTGGGAGAAAAGAGAGGTCAAGGTGATAATAATGGTGAAGGAAAGTAAAATCTGAGAAACTCCAAAAGTAATATCCCAGAATCAGAGAATTTCTAATGACACAGTAGAAAAAGCACAGTCTGATATAACAGAAATACCTTATTCAAGTTTGGTGAAAAATTACATCCTTTAGAAAGCCTTAGAAACAACCATTGCCCGGGAATAATTTATGTTGTTCGAGAAAGAAGAAATATTGCTTCCCGCCCCACCCCACCCCAGCCATTACACTACTAATGTAATATGCACGTGGAAGTTGGAGAGATGAAACAAACTGGTGACACAGTAAACTTTTATACTCACAAGGCTACCACAGTAGATAAATGATGGTAACACAAGATGGCTTTGGAAAAAATGAGAATGAATAAATGAAAAGTCCTTTGTTTAACAATTGACCCTCCTTTATTGCTCATACATTGTCCAGTTTGTTACTTTTAACATGTATTATTTATTTTAAAGGCTTCATATACTTTATCTTTAATTCTCACAATACAAAGTGTTATTAATCTTATGTTATAGATTTTTCAAAAAACAAACCCAAGATATAGAAATGTTGATCTATGTGCCATTGAAGTTGCAGAGCCTGGATTTAACCCAATACCACCTCCATGATTCTTGATGGGCTTGGGACATAAGCTTGTACCTATTACCTAGCAAAGCCAATACTTCTTCAGGTTAAGAAGGATATTTAGAAAGTGTTATGGGCTGAACTGTGTTCCCCTCAAATTCATAGATTGAAGTCTTAACCCTAGTACTTCAGTATGTGACTGTATTTGGAGATTGGGCCTTTAAAGAGATGATTAAGTTAAAATGAGGCCAGTAGAGTGGTCCCTAATCCATCTGATTGGTGTCCTTATACAAAGAAGAAGTGTGAATTCAGACACATTAGGGATGTGCACCCACAAAGGAAAGGCCATTTGAGGACGCAGTGAGAGGGCAGCCATCTGCAAGTCAAGAAGAGAGTTCTCAGGTTGAAACCAACCTTGACAACACCCTGACTTTGAACTGCTAGTCTCCAGAAATTTCTGATGTTAAGCCACCCAGTCAGTAGTATTTTGCTATGGCAGCCCTACCAAACTAATATAGGGACAGAGAAGAAATCATCAAATGCAATAACAAACATAGACTGCATAAGTAACAGCAGCTCATCTGTTGTTCACACCTGGACTGAGGGTTGTTACAGACATTGGCCTTTAATTGAAATAGGAAAGAGTTCCATCTCTGGGGGCACTGAAGGACTGTTGCTATGTCTGCCAGGCACACTCCTTCCAATATATTCCCCTCATACTACTATGTCTACCTCTTCTCTCTCTCCCTCACAGAAACAGGGTTGAAATGTCCCCACAAGGCCAACATACACGCCCTAACAAGCAAGGTACATGATAAATGAAAAGCATTTCAAGGCATAGCCTGGTGTTGTTACCTCAGATCTTGCTAGAATAACATGACATTTCTAAAAATACAACCCACTGTATATTTGGCATTGCTTGGGAATGAAGAATATGTCCACTTAAGATCCAGTACCCCAGGCTGTCAAAGAAATCCTGAGCCAAAATTTCTTTTATAAACATTACCTATCTCTTAAAATTCTATAGTCTAGGAGTCAGGAAAATATCTCTGCTTATTTACAAGTCTCCTTTTAGCTAAACATAAAAAACATAAACCATACATAAGAACTAGTGAAATGCTTAGGGCACGTCGATGGAACAGCTCTGCGCATCTGGCAAAAAGCCTCAACACTTCCAGCGTTAGCCCTAGGTCACCCTCGTCCCCAATACACACCTACACACACCACCAATACTAGCCACCTCCAATCCCAGTACACACTGAAAGGCATTATTTTTACAGATTATTTTCTCAGATACCAGCCAAGCAATGATCCCATTCACTTTGTCACCCTCCTTAGATCATACAAAATGTAACATCTGGGAGAATAAACTCAGTCCCTAATGCATATGACAAGGGTGAGCAGTTACCAAGAAGTTCTCTTCAAGCGAAAAGGATTTGCCAGCTCTCCTCTGAGGTCCAGGCCCTGAAAGGCCAACTGTGGTAAGTTTGAATATCCACCCGGCCTGGTGCTTGCTGCCTGTTTCGATGTTCAGTCTGAATCCCACAGCCCAACTGTCCTATAAGCATCTCGCCCTTTCTGTTGGGAGCTGCTCACCTAAGTCATATGACTTGAGTGGAAAATATGCTATTTGAGAAGTGCAGGATGAATGTTAACTGACACTTGGAGCACGGCTGACCTCTCTCTTCTCCAGACCAGTGATTGCTCTAAAAAGACATGTACATTCACATGAACATAATGAGAACAGAAAGAAAGGACCAGATTTTCCTTACCGTGTGCCACCCAGCCATGTTTACACTGATCACAAGTCCTCAGGTTAATCTTCCCCGGCTGAAAACATTCGCACGTGCAGTTTACCAGTGTGCAACGGATGGCCTGAAAGATAGAGGAGGGGGAAAAGCATCAGCAACCGTTCAAAGGAACTATAGTTCTTCCACATTTTACTAAGCAGGACCCATTTCCATGTCTAAAGCCTTCATGTTGGTAGGGGCCTGGAGAGTTTTTTTGATACTATCAAAATCTATTATAAAAAATGTAAGAAAGCAAGGCTCATTCGCTAAGAGAGTATTTCATGTTATTCATACGTAACCTTTAAATTAGAAACATAGAGTAGAATAAGAATAAAGTATTACTTACTCTACAAGAATGCAGATTTGTAACACCAGAATCCAAAAGAGAAAAAAATATATTGCTGCTATTCCCATTTATCTATTTCGCAAAACGTATACATTTGAATATGATAATGTTCAAGTGAAATGTTGATAAAAGTAAAACAAAGCATACAAATATTAGTAGGCTATTACTTTTCTTCTGCTGAGTTTCACTTAAATATTTTGTTAATCTTTCAGGGACATTTTAAAAGTTAGTCCCATTGTCCCAATATGACCTAGTATACCAAGTACTTCCAGTATTTTTTATTACTTTCCAATTTCTTGTGTTTCCCCCCTTGATATATTAATTCTACTTTCATTCCTATTTTGACAAACACACATCAACCCTCCTTTTATTTTAATGTTGATGCAAGAAAATAAGTCTAACTTTATTTTAAGATAAGATGTAGAATGTTCCACTTAAGATAAGATGTTCCACTTATGGGAACATTTTATATCTGGAATAATCCAATGGTATCTTAGAAAACTGAAAAACACACTAAAAAATCCTTCATTTCTTTACAAGTACTTTTAAAAATCATCTCACCAGTTTATATTATAAAGTGAATCCATAGAAAATTAGCATAAATGAAGTGTAACTTTTTTTATGGACAAAAACCTATACTTAAGAATTGTGCTAAAGCTGACCTATGCTCCTAGACTACAGTTAATAAATTTATCTCACACATTTAGTTCTAATTTGCATGGAAATTCTGAAGACAGAAGGGACTTAGTCCGATCATTCATAGATTAACAATCTACTGTAACTACCTGGAGTGCCAGGAAAAGATCTCTCTACAGCTTTATATGCAATCAATGATTACTGATTTGCATGGGGCTACCTGCAACTGCAATTCTGTGCCTCAAAGCTATGCTCACTTACACACCTCCAGATGCTCATATTCCTGGAATCATTTGGATTTTTACATAAACTGTCTCATTTGTAACAGCAGTGTTTGAGATATCATTAATATGATTGACCAAATTCCATTTACAGAGAATAAGACTGAACAGGCTTTTAATGTTCGCTATGCTTTGGATCAGGCAAGTTTAAAATCTTTTTCTTTCATTAATTAACATTAAACCTATAAGACCTTACTCAGTTTCTGATGTTAAAGACCTCACTGAAGACTCCTTCCTTACTTCACTTTGACCCCTAATTTGTTCCTCTATTACACTACAGAAATAATTGAATAACCTGCTTGCTACTTCAGGGTTTCTCTTCCACTGTCAACAGTCCAATTACATATTAGCCAGGTTGTAAAACTTTGTTGTATGTATCAGAAATTAAAGGAATTAGTAATAAGAAATAGGGACATCCAAGGAAATGCTGACTAAGCAAGAATAATATATGTACTTGTAGGTTATAAGAAGAAACGCTTCTCCCAAAATTTCTTATCTCAACTTTAATAGTCACGGACTGAACAATATATTAAAGCATCCCAGGTTAGAAATAGTTTCTTTAAATAACATGATCATTAGTTAATACACTCACAACTTGATTGAACTATGGTCAAAACAAAGCAGTTTAGAGGGTAGTGTTTCTACAAAAAACAAGGCACTTTCACAAACTATCCAATTATAAATTCAGATATGGCAACCAAGTCGACATTAAAATATTTATATAACCTGAAGTGTGATAATAAAAGCTTTAATAAATTCTGGGGGGAAAAGAAACCAAAAAAACCCTGCATAACCAAAAGTAAGGGGATGACTACTAAAAAGAGATGATTTCTCAAAGACTATATTTAACTCAGGCACAAAAGACATATATATTTTAAATTATTAATTTGAAAATATCTAATTATTTTATAAAAATAGCCTAATTTTTCATGGTGTTTAAAAGCACACTTTTTCATTATAGCTAGAGTCAGGACCTGAACAAATTAAGAGATTGTGGAGCTGCTTTATTTTTATTCACTGGTTGAATCACTGATTCACTTTCTCTAAACTAGTTTACGATTCAAATATTTTCTCTTCCTAAATAACTTTATACACCTGGCATATCTGGGAATTAAACTTCTTAGATCATCATCGTTCTTTATAAATTCAACTCTCTTTGTACCTAACCGTACAAACACTGGAACACCTCAACTCCTTTGTATATAAACACTTAAGTCCTGGGATATCCATTTTTGTATTTCTATGAATTCCAGGAGGCCTGTTTGTTTTAAATCCAGATTTATACACACTACAATTGCTCCTTAAGGGAATTATATATATTTAAACAATATGGTCTAAATAAATATTTTGAGTTAGAGAATATTGTGGCTTCAAAGGAAGTTTTATTCTAAAGAACATTTTTGAAACGACATAAAACTTTGACATAGTACTTATTCACAATAATACAGAACCAATGTGATCACTCGCCAACTCACCCACAGTTAAAAAAAAAAATTATCATAAAACTATCAAAGCCAGTTAAGTCTCAAAAATGTACATGCTTTACAGGAGACAGTTGGGAAGAACAGAAATGGATGAGCTTTCATTTTTATGAGCACATTCATTTCTTCCTTCATTCAGCTAAAGTATGAGTGCTACGTACTCACGGCTGGGCACTATGAACTACAGAAAATACAGAGATGATGACAAAGTGGCAGAAAGGGGACAGCAAAAAAAAGTACAGACAGTTCAGTCAGATTGTTCCCTCCTAAATACACAGGGATCCCTACGTGGGTCAGGCTGATTCAGGCTATCAACCCTCCATGCCCCCAGGATCCTGATTCATCAAGAGTGCCCTATAATTCTTTCCTCCATTCACACATGACCGGTATTCCCAACTCCCTGTGAACAGTAACAATAATAACAAACTTTCTTAAGCCTGCAACTTATTAAAAGTAATTACTCCTTCTGCTTACCTTTACCATGGATTTCCTGAAAGAAAAATCCATGCACCCAGCACACAACTGCTTCCACTTCCTCACCACCACCTACATTTCAATTTTGCAATCTGAATTCTGCAACTGAAACCTCTTTCTCCAAGAGGAATGTTCTCATCACATGTGGTCCCTTTTCCAGTCTCCTTGTCGTCCCAGACCTCGATGCAGCTTGCAGCACTAACTTTCCTTCATAGAGACCAACTATCCTAGTTTTTCTGGCAGCAACTTCTCACTCTCTCTCCACTGTAAATAAATACAGGTGTTTCCCATGACCAGGCTATTCGCTCTTTAACTTGGCAATTCCATCCCCTCCTACAGCTTCAAATATCATCACTATGCAAAAATCATCACTTTAGAGCCAAGCACTATGTTAAGTGGCAGGAAATAGGTGCCAGAGTCCTTGTGCTCAAGGACTTTTCGGTCAGAGTTTGTGGGTAGTGGGTTTAGAGGAGAGACCCTAAGGACAGAAGGAAGCCCTTGAACAGGTCTAAGAAGCACCCTCTCTCCCTTTTTATTCCCATGTTTTCTTCTACTAAAGGCAGGATATTTTTATTTATAACAGCAAACAATTATGTTATTATTTTATTAGCTAGATTTACTGGATAATTGCCATTTTCTAGATCCTGTGCTAAAAACATTACAAACATTAACTCTCTTAATCCTCAGAAAATACCACGAGGTTGGTACTATTATACCCTTTATTTCCCAAACAAGGAAATGAAGGTAGAGACAAGTAAGTACCTTGTCTAACGTTGCTCAACTAGTGAAGTCACAGGAATCAGACCCAGGTGTCTATGGGATCTACATCCCTCTAACTGGAAATCTTGAGTAACAACCCCATTCACAATTAGGCAGTCATGGAGTAGAGGCCCTCTACATGCCCTCCATCCCCACTGCGAATTGTTAACTCCTGCTCATCTCTCAGATTCCACCTCAAATAAGTACTTCCATTTCCCAGGAAAGCTGCTCTTATCTCGTAATCAAGGCAAATTCCCCATTTGTCTCCTGTTTTACAGGGGATCTTTCTGTCATAGCACTTATCACAGTTGTGAACATTACATTTCTAATTTATCTATAACTTATTATAGATAAATATCTCCTTATATATCTGTATGATTATTTGATTAAGATCCGTCTTCCTCTCTAAAATTTAAGCTCTATCAGGGCAGGGCAACACGCCCTTTGGGCAAATAATAGGTGCTCAAAAGGCACTTAAAGAAACAAAATTCTCTGAGCCCCTCTCCTCAACTGTGAAATGAAAATAATAGTAACATCACAACAGTGTCAAAAGACTTAAATGAAATAATGAATATAAGGCATGTGGCACTGTGCCTAGCAATAGTAAAAGCCCAATAAATGAAAACCATTTATGACCTCAAGAAACTTTCCACATATAATATTTGAATTATTTTTCCTTATGATTCTTCCCAATGTATTAAGTTTTTCCAACACCTTGTAAAATGCTTAACACATATTTAGTCTTAATTAATAAATGAACACTTTGACATACATGAGGCCATATTATTCATACTATAATCATCTACAATGGGTATGACAGGGATTAGTAGTTTTAATACCTGGGTTCAGAAATGTTTATATACCTCTTAAATGATAGGGTGGATTTCCCAATTATTAATCAGTTTATTTCTATTACTCATAGAAAAAGGAAAAAAGTACAATAAAAACCAGTATATTATAAATACATTCAAAGTGTATCTCAAATACATAAAATAGGGCAATTTAATTTAGAAATATTTAATTCAGTTTTGGTAACACTTTAATATTTGAATATTAAATAAGAGTGTATTTGAAAGTATTTTGGATGAGTTCCAAAGCCCTATTCAAA